TCTGGCAGGTGATGATGGTAGAGGCAAATCACTTTGATCCAATATGGGATTAAGATGAGTCAAGGCAGGATCTTTGTTTTTGTTGTTTTGTTTTGTTTTGTTTTTAAGAGACAGGGTCTCGCTCTGTCACCCAGGCTAGAGTGTAGTGGCATGATCACAGCTCACTGCAGCCTTGAGCTCCTGGGCTCAACCAATATTCTTGCCTTAGCCTCCTGAGTAGCTGGGACTACAGGTCCACACCACCATGCCTGGCTAATTATTATTATAATTATTATTATTTTGGTAGAGACAAGGTCTTGCTATGTTGCCCAGGCTGGTCTCAAACTTTTAGCCTCAAGCAGTACTCCCACTCCAGCCTCCCAAAGTGCTGGGATTACAGGTGTGAGCCACTGCACCTGGCCTGCTTGGTTTGCTTTTATTTCAAAGGAGCAACCTGTCACAGGTCTCAGTTAAAAGCTTGGGGTGTTAACAGGCTCCTCGTCCTTGATGGGTCATGAATCCAGTTTTTGCCTCCCTGATATTGGGAGACTGCCTAAAGCTCTGCTTAGTTTCTTGCCTTCTTAGCTGCCCCTTTTTGCTTGGCTTCTCTGCCTCTCACCCCACCCAGCTTAGGAATTAGCAAATGCCTCAAAATTAATAACTGTCAGCAACATCAGACTCATGTGTCTGTGGTCCTTATATTTCTAGGATCTTTGCTCCTGTGTCCTACCTGCCTTAGTAACCCTGCACCCTTGTCTTTGCCTCTCCAGCCCAATGAGACTGGAAAATGCTAAGCTGTTGCTTTTTTTCTTCTTTGCTTATAAATTGGCAAATGTCTTGAGGGGAAAATTGGTAGAGGTCAAACTTAGCTCAGTCTATTTTTCATCTCTGGGATCTTGGTCCCTCAGGCCCTGCTTGGTTGCCTTCTGATGCCTTAAAATAACATTTTATAGCTTTTATTTTTGAGCATGATAGTGAGACTGAACTAAAAATGCAAGCTATCCTGTCATAGTTGGGAAGTGAATTCAGTTGGACATGGTAATACATATTAGGAAAAATGGCTTCTTTTCCCTTTCTTCAATGTTGGAGGAAAATGCAAGTTTAAACTGTACAAAAAGACAGACATCAGATGAATTAAAGACTTAAAGATGAAAGATAAAATTGTAAGTTAATAGTTTGACATGTAGACAATTTTTTAAATCCCAGAAATAGAGAAAGAATTTTTATAACTAAAAAAACAAGAAATTATTAGGCAAATATGTAAAGTTTTTAATTCTACAAAAGGCACCAGAAATAAACAATCAAATGAAAGATTAAGAAATTTACAGCATCTAAAAACCAACAATGAACTAATACTTAGACTCTACAAAGTACTCCAGCAAATCAATGAGAAAAAATTTTTTAAAAAGTAGAAAACCCAGTAGAAAAATGGTTAAGGATAAAAGATATGAATAGACAGTTCCCAGATACATAGATGGCCCACAGTTATGTGAAATATGCTCAAACTTGCTAGTAATCCTATAACTACAAATTAAAACAGCTATAAGATATTACTTTCTACCCATAAGTTTGGCAAAAATTAGAAAGCTGGGCAATGCCAAGTATTAGCAGGAAAATTATGAAACTAGAACCTTTATGTGTTTCTGGTAGGAATGTACAATAGCACAGGAATTATGAAGAACAGTTTGCTAGTACTTGGTCAAGCTCTGTTCACATATACCCCATGACACAGAAATCCTCCTCCTAGAATATAAATACTCAATACATTTTAGGAATGTGTATATATACATATGGAGATGTACTGTATATTTTTTTAATGAAGATGAATGAAGATGTTCATTGCAGCATTGTTTGTTTTGAGAGATGAAGATTAGCTGGGTGTTCACCACTGGGGCAATGCAGAAATACAATAGAGTTAGGTGCACAGTGTGGAATTAGAGCTGCAAGTTAGATATCCATGCAATGAGATGGATACATACACATTTTAAAATCATAGTGCAGACTGAAAATAAAAAGCCTAATAAACAATGAGCTCTTGTGCACACTATTCATTAAATTAAAACACATAAAATAACAGGACATCATTTATAAGAAAACATATTTACATATTTAATACGTTCGAGTCATTGTTTAGGGTATGGTGGAAAATGAAGATAAATGAATGAATTTTTAAAAATCTTGTTGGAAGAAGCTAATCACTCAAATATAGATTTCTTCCTTCCCTGTTCCTCTCTCCTTCTGTCCTTTCCTTTCTCCTATCATCTAACAGATGTTATTTGGATGACAGATGAACAAGATTCTGTGTCAGGTGCTATGGGCAAGATAAAGGAGATTTCTCCGTTGGCTTGGCCTTCAAGGATCTTGGGCAAGACTAGAGTCTAAGGTGACTACACTAAAGGCTTTAGTAGCAATACTCTGTCTGAGAGCTAAAACGCACACACGCATTCCTACTCTATTTAACATCATCAAGTGCTGTTTGGATATGCTAAGAGTTCTTAAGGATGACAGCAACACTCGGTAAACTAAGTAAGCTAGGAGACTGAGGCCAGAAGTGTCACACTGCTGTCTCTTTCCTCTGCAGGCTTTTCTGATAACACATGTGCTGTGCACCTTGAATGCAAATGCCCAGAGAGACCAGGAGGAAAGACAAATCGGAAAAAGAGAGTCAAGTGCAAGAGAGTAGGGAGTGGTGGGGACTGTGGAAAACTGGAGCCCTATATACGCCTTGGCTAAACTGGGCAGCCACTATTCAACTGCAGCCGATTGTCACCATGCAGGAATGTGGCAATATTCTTCCATTTTTAAGAGAAGCTGAAAATCTAGATTTTATGTGAAATTGCCTCATCTTAAAATATTGGCAACAATTTCAAATATTTTTAACTCCAAGGAATGGGGGACTAAAACAGAGGTTGGCAAACTTTTTCTGCCAGATATTAAATATCTTTGGCTTTTAGGGCCACATATGGTCTCTATCTAAACTACTCCACTTAGCAGTTATAGCGTGGAAGTCACCATGGATGAGACAGTCCTCCAATGAGCAGGGACTATGTCCCAATAAAACTTTACTTACAGACACTGAAATGTGAATTTCACATCATTTTCACATGTCATGAAATAGTATCCTCCTTTTGATTTTTTTCAAAAACACGAAAGCCATTCCTAACTCACGGGTCACACAAAAGCAGTCACAGCCTGGATTTGGGCCATAGTTCGTGCCAAGCCCTAACTAAAACAAACGCAGTTGAATCCCCAGGTACCACTTACCAGATTACATCCCCTGTTACTCCCAAAGCCAACCATTCTCCTGAAATTGGTGTTGACCATTCTTATACATACTATTGTCTTTTTACTGCCTGTGTCTGTATCCCTCCACAGGGTAGCCGGCCCTTTGTACCTGCAGGTTCCATGTCAACCAACCTTGGATCAAAAGTATTCGGGGGGGAAAAAGCAATAAAAAATAATACAACAATAAAAATAATACAAGTTGTAAAAGAGTGCGATATAACAACTGTTTACGTAGCATGCGCATTGTATTAGGTATTATAAGTCATCTAGAGATGATTTAAAGTATATGGGAGGCTGTGCGTAGCTTAGATGCAGATACTTTGCCGTTTTACCTAAGGGGCTTGAGCATACGCTAATGTTGGTATCCGTGGGAAGTCCTGCACACAGTCACCCTCAGATTCAAGAAGCAGCTGCACTTTGAACTCGGTGGAAATGGCATCACACCGCGGATGCCCGTCTTTCTGCCTCTTTGCCCAACGCTCTGTTTGGCAGCTGTCCGCCGCGCCGAGTGGAACGCCAGCTGCCTTTTACGCTGCGGCGCTGCGTCCCACAATGGGGACACACTGCCGCTAGCTGTCCACGCCTGGAGTAGAGGACGAGCATCCAGGCTGCTGCCTACCAAGTCCTTTCTGTACAGGCATCATCTCTTTTCGTCTTCACCATGACCTTGCCAGGGAGGACTCTGATAATCTCCATTTTTCCAGATGAGAAAACCTTTGACTTCGAGCAGTTTGATGATTCATTCAAGGTAGTGAGCAGAGAAACTGGAATTTGAATTCACGACCTTTTTGGCCACAGAGTCTGAGTTTATAATCACTTACCCCATCAATCAGTGCGTTGCGTTTCATGAACAGAACAATAGCCGATCCCGCCGGTAATGAGCCTGTGATAACGCTGTGCTCTCGGTGCATTCAGCCTTCCTCTGAAGACAGCTGAGGGTTAAATGTCATTGGTGGTAGTTCAGACCTCTGAAAATTGCTACACCATGGATGATGTTGTGTGCATTAACTAGAAACCTCATTTCCTAAACACACTGGGTGGGAATTTAGGAAGAATAAATACCAACATGGTGCAAGAGTTGGAAATGTTTTCAATAAAAATTGAGAAAGACCCAAGAAGTCTTGTTCCTATTCTCCCTGCCTCCCATAATATTAATATATTGTCAAAATCGTGAGTAATCCTGGAGGCTGGGCTTTCCCTCTTGGTTCTGGCCGCACTGATGGGCCGTGGAGGGTGCTGCCCCGAGTTGTGAATGTCGCCCAGGCCTTTGGAGCCTTCTCCGTCTGTGCAAACACACCGTGTCCGTTTTTCTCTCTGAACCACAATCAACTCCAAGTTCTCCCCAAGCCTCTGGCTTTTGGGAATCCAAATTCAGACGCCCTCTCTCTGCCTGCCTCCCCCTTCCTCTGCTGGGAAGTCCCCTTCATTCACTCTGGCTCATTCCGACGACATTTAAAAGAAACTAAAATATAATTTTTCTAATGGCAAAATACAGCACACAGGAGGGGAACGTTTTAATCGAGTGGGTGCATTCCCTGGGGGGAGCAAGTACTTCATTTTAATTCCTCATTTCCCTTTGATGAAAAGTTTAGTGAATTTTTATCATGTAGAATTTATAAGAAGGCAGGGTTTAGGTAATCGGCTTTAATATTTATACTCTTAGGGAAAGAAATAGGAATCATTAGTAAGCATGCATAATTAATGAATAAATTATATTTCCCTTTGTTTTCTTGCAGGTACAAGGAAATGCTAGAACTAGTGATCTCACCCAGCCTCACTGTAAACAGCGATTGTCTGGATAAACTGAAGTTCAGCCGCGCCGACTCCACCGTGTGGACTCTGAGTGGCAGAAAAGGTAGGCTTCCTGTCGCGAGTTTCGGCAGACAGGTGTGGTGGTCCCCGCGAGTGTGACAAGGGACTGACGCGCATCCTTTCCAAAGCACTGTCGTTGGGACAGTTTCTCCTCCTGCCATTTCAGTTGTCGCCTCTGAACCAAAACGCTGGTGTGTGTCGCTCCCTGCTCTGTCTCGTCACCAGAGGGAAATGTGTGTGCCCATCCGTGTTCTGAGCTTCCTTTCTCGCTCTCCAGTTCTGAGAAACGGTGACACCACCACAGACGAAAGTCACTTTCAGATGTGTCCCAGGCCCAGCCCCGGGTGTGTTCGCAGTGTCGCAGTCTCCGGCTCTGAGCTCTGTCCCCTGACCTCTTCTCTGCCGTCGCCTGGTCCGGGCAGGCGTCCGGTTCACGGGGGGTTGACGTTAGGACCAGACCTCGGCTGCCTTCTGCTTTCGGGCCGGGTCGGAGTCAAGAAGGCAGAGGAGAGTTCAAGCTGTTTAAAAAATTATTGGCAAATGATGCAGCCCAGCTAGTTTTCACTAGAACAATTCCAGCCATTGTTTGTTCTGTGTGGGATCTGTCAGCCTTCCTGGTGGAGGTTGGAGTGAAGCTGTTATGTTTCACCATCGGGCTTAACCCTTCACTTGGCCGGCTTTGGGGTTTGCTGCTGGTGTTCTGAGAACCCTACTTGTTCCTCCTCCACCGTCTGTGTTTAAGTCCAGCCCACGCGGCACGAACGCTACATAGCTGTCGCGGAAAACCAGAGTGACGCGTGTCTGGTGGGAACAGAACATCACAAGGAATCTGCTCTGAAGCAAGTCCAGCTTTCCACGAGTAATTATGGCCGTCACCCCTACAGTGACATTTCGCTCGCACGCTGGTTAGGAAGCTGGGACGACCCCAGTACAAGTGCCACCGAGAGGTCTGGGCCCCCGCGACAGAACTGGTGGAGACACACCCTCGTTCTTCCTGGCACTTTGCAGCACCCATGTAAGCTGCCCTGGGCTCTTCGAGAGTTTGAGAAAATTTACTGAGCCCTGTTGACAAAAAGTCATCTTTTTCTTTCTTTCTGAGTGGAGGCACAAGTCAACCCACCAGTGTCTTCGTTTTAGAGCTGGTAAGTGACAGGAAAGGGCGTAGGCTCCCGAGTGAGGAGTGTCCAAGTCTGAATCCCGGTCCCACTGCTTCCCAGCCCAACAGTCTTGGGCAAACTGTTTAACCTTTCTGAGCCTCCGTTTTCTGTTTTGAAATGATTTTTATTATTTTTTTTTAAATTATTTTAAAGCACCTTTGGGATCCATGGGCCTCAATTTTTCCACCTGTCAAATGGGGACATATTAATGACCTACTCCATAGGGTGCCGATTACAAGAATTAAATGAGGCAGTGGCATGTGAAATGCCTGGCATGCCTTGGGGCATAGTAAATGATTAAACTGTCATTCCATTGTCCTCCTCCTCTGAATCAAATAACCACTGTGAATTCAAAACCACGGTTGCAAACTAGCAGCCCACGGCCAAGTCTGGCCCTTGAGTGTGCCTTTGCTTGGTTTACACGTGTCGTAAGTAAAAGTGAACTTGTAAAAATTGGGAGTATTCGCATAAAAATCTGGATTTCTGGTTTCTCTTGAAATGCTGCACGCTTTAGCAACGCTGGCCCTGCATTCCCACCTGGCTGCCACAGGTGGTTGCTGAGAGGCTGCTGTCCCTTAAGCGAGTCCCTGCCACTCCCTATTGTCCTTAATTTTGTGAGCACATATTTGTGCCAGGCGCTGTTCAAAGCAATGTAAACCTAGGTTCATTCTCCTCCTCCTCCTCCAGCACCATCAGAGCACACACTGGGCACTCACTTAATCCCCGCAACTCTAAAAAGTGGTTGCTGTTATTGACCCATTTTACAAATTGAAGAAACTGAGGCGCAGAGGTTAAGTAGCTGGATTGAGAAGCCACAGACAAATGATCGCCAACATTGGAACCCAGGTAGTCTGACTACAAAGTCTATTCTGCAAATCAGTAAACAACACTGTTTCTCATTTAATTATTATCCCCTATTAAGCTATGAGCCCATTTTATAGATGGGGAAGCTGAGCCATTGGAGTGTTAAGTAACCAGCTTAAAGTCACACAGGAATCAACCCCAGTCACTCTGGCTGCAGAGCTTCCGCTTCTAAATCACTTTCTGCCAAGCTCTAAGAGTCTCCAGACCCCACATGTCCAATTCCCACCCCCCAGTGGTGGCACCCACAAACACTTTTTCTGTGTGACTTGGAGCTTGGAGTCCCCTTTCTTCTTCCCTGGAGCAAGCTGGTGGCCATGGTGAGGGCTTTAGGGAGTGGGGCAGAAAGGGGTTGCTTCCAGATTCAGAGTGGGCAGGGCAGTGGGGTGGGGGGGTGGGGTGTGGGTACACACATACTTTTCTCTCTCTGGAGGCTGTGGTGAGCTCCAGCGACTCTGTAGGGGACATTCCACCCTGGAGTGTGACCCCCAAGTGCAAGATTAGGCTGCTCTTCCTGCCTGGCCTCCTGTTCTCCCTCCCGAGCCATTCCTTTATTGAGTGGCTTCAAGGGTCCAGCTCAGAGGAGAACCCCAAAGAGGCGTGAGCCATAGGCCCTGCACTCAGGGATTCTGGAGGGAATGTGGACCCCCAAACCCCTCCAGTGGTTCCCATTATGTTCCCGCCTCTGCCTCTTACCAGCCGTGGGTCCCTGGTCTACAGGCCTAACCTCTTTGGGGCTCATTCGCCCCATCTGTTAAATGGGAATAATTATTCCACTGACCTCATAGAGTTGGTGTGAGGATGAAATGAGCTAAAACAGAGAGAACTTGGTGTTTTTAAAATGTGTCGAATAAGATCTGAATTCCTTACCCTTGGCCATGGGGCTCTACCTGTCTGTCCCTGGTAGCCTCCACACTCCTCTCCTCCCCTGGCCCCTCTGCTCACCTGGCCCAGCCCTGTCTTCTTTCTTCCGCTTTAACTGGGAAGCGTGCTTCTGCCCTCAGGGCCTTTGCACTTGCTGTTCCCTCGGCCTGGACCAGTCTTCCCCAGGCTCTGCAGGACCGTCCCTGCTCCTGCCGTTCTCATCGGAGGGGTCTTTCCCAGGGAAAGTAACTGTTCCTTCCTTCCTTCATTTGTTCAGCCACGTGTCCAGCATAGTTCTAAGTACTAGGGAGACAGCACGGAGCCTACAGAGGGTGCTGGCCAGGCAGAAGGCTGGCAATGGCAATAAATTAGCAGAACATATAGCATGCTGGATGGTGATACACACTGTGGAGGGAAAACTGCAGGGCACGGGGCTAAGGAATGCAAGGGTGGAGGGGTGCAGTTATTGTTAGGGTGTCTAGGAAAGAGGTCACTGGAAAGGTAACACTTGAGCAAAGACCTGCAGGAGGTCAGGGAGGGTGCTGCACAGAACCTTATGACCAGAGAAGGCAGCAAGTGCAAAGGCCCTGGGGCAGCTGTGTGCTCAGAGCACTTGAGGAACTATAAGGAGGCTGGTGTGTGGGGGGAGCCCAGTGAGCGAGGAGGTGGATGGAGGCAGATCATGTCAGAGAGACACCCAGGATCAGACCCTGCAGGGTTTTGTGAGCCACTGGAGAGACTTTGGCTCCCACCTTGTGTGGGAAGGGAGCCAGGGCGTGGTGTGAGCAGAGGAGGGACGATCTGATTTGCACAATGACAGGTCCCTTGGGCTGCGTGTGAGAACAGACTGGGCCTGGGAGCAGAGTGGCATCCGGGAGCCCAGAGAGAGTGACGGCCACCCAGGTGGGGGTGCTGGTGGCGTGGACCGAGGCGGCCACAGCAGAGGTGGTGAGCAGGGCTTGGATTCTGGGTCAGCTTTAAGGGCGGAGCTGCAGAGCCCCAGCCGCTCTGTCCTGGGGCCCGTTCCGTTTTCCCCAGACTCCCGCTGTCTCGGAGGCTGTGCACTGCGCCCCTTGCTGTCTGTCCGTCTCGCCCACCAGATCGCAAGTTCCCCAGGGCAGCCCCTGCCCGCTTGAGTCCACGAGGCGTCCCCGCTGCTAAGAACAGGGCGTGACACGTCGTGGGACCTTAAGGAAGGTTTGGCGACTGAATGAGACAGACCTCTGCGAGGCTCAGGACCGAGTGCCGGAGCGGGCCACGCCGACGGGCTGAGAGCGTCACACGTCCTGTCGCCCGGCCTGCGTGCGTGCCGTGCCCCGCCCAGGCGCCCTTCCCTTCCTCTTTCTGTATTCTTTGCGAGGGATTTTTAAAGACGAATCAGTTGCTAGTCACCAGGTAATATAGAAATGCACAATCTTTACAAAACTTTGGAATATTGGACCAAATTCCCCTCCACCACATCCACCCATCTCAGCCTTTCCCTCTCTGCCCCAGGAGTACGCGGCTGCCGTGTCTCGTGTGTGCTACTTACGGCCTTTTCCTGTGCAGTTACCTGTGTGTCGATACATATTTATATAATTCACGTGCGTCTGTGTAGATATACTAATCAGTGCGCGTTTACTGTAGAAATTACAGTATTGCTGGGGAAAGGCTTGAAGCGCAAAAGCTCTCATGCTGTAGGTATTTACTGTAATTTGCTTTGCTCATGCAAGGTAGAAGGAATGATGTGCTTTCTTGTTCTAACTAAATAGTATGCCAGAGGCTGACCACGCCCCGGGTCTCTGAGCCAGCCCCTGCGTGTAAGCACTCAGGTTACTGTTGCTGTCTTTAATCTGTGCCCTTAAAAGCAACGCCGGAGGAGCAGGTACGCGGCCGTCTGAACACGGCACCGCTTCTCCAGGGGAGACACTGACAGGTGGAAGTGAAGCCTCTTAGGATGCCCTCCCTCCCCCCGTCCTGTCTCCACGCTCCCTCTCCTTCCACTTTGCTCCCACCTCCGGTGCAACCTCCCCCCAGGGAGATTCCATAGTTCCTCGTCCGTTCATTCATCCGTGCAGTCGCGTGTGGGACAGCGTGCTTGATGAGCCTCCTGTGGGGAGGATGGGGCCTCCCTCTGCCTGCCCCAGGGACTTTGCCTCCTGACAGCCACTCTGCTCCCAGG